ATAGAACCTATACTGTTCTGCTAGACTCAGCTCGTCGAGTTCTAAGCTGGCATCCTAAAAAACTGAAAAAGTCGAAAATTGAACTGTGCTTCCTATCGAAGTACCTGAGGACACTCGTTAGCGAGCGAGTCTCGCTATAATTGTAACCAGAGGGTAATCGTTGGGAATTAAATCATTCAGAAATCAAATAGCGTACCATATCGCGCGAAAAAGATTATAAATTAGACGGTTGTGTTTCCCAAAAGATGGTACTTCGATAGAAAGCAGAGTTCAATTTTTGACTTTTTCAGTTTTTTAGGATGCCAGCTTATAGAACTCGACGAGTTGAGTCTAACAGTATAGGTTTCTATATGAGAAAAGTTCACACGAACTGAGTTATAGCAAAAAAAAACGAAAAAAACGCGAATCGGCGCTTTTTTCGAACAATTGGGGTGGCGCTCGCTTTCGCGGCGCCCAAGCGAGTGACGAGGGCATCCATGCAGTCCTTCTCTCTCAATGGGCTGGCCCACCTTCATTTACCCAGCTACCGCCCTACGCTGCCATAATCATGGCAGCGTGACAGCTTGGATTTTTCTGCATGGTTCTGTTGCGAAGCCCTGTGCTGTCTGCAACTAAAAGGCAGCGGTTCCCAAAGCACCAATAGGTGCGAATAAATTTAATTGTTGTTCACACATTAGTGCAACGCCCGTAAATAAAGCAAGGTGGCAATGCAGATTAACAAGTTGCTAAAGAAACAACTAAACAAAAAATCTAACTGCAATTCAATTTCAGTCAATTGAACATTGAGGGGTCAGGTAGAATCAGCCAAAGCAGCAGTCAGGAGATGGAGTCCTACAATTAAGCAGACGACAGGGGAAGGGTCGGACTGCCCTGTGGTGATCTAGATAGCAGACTTTTTTCAAGGGGGGGGGGGAGCTCCAGGGCGGATGAACCACTCACTTAACCCGCGTGAAATGTTGAATGAGACACAGTGGTAATAGAGCGCCATATTGACAAGGTACTGCAGAGAAAAAGGTCCGCAGTAATAGATGACCACAATAACATAACAGAAGGCTCGCCAACGAACGTAGGCAGGTATCTCGCTAGCGAGTTCTATTTGTGACATGGAGACGATTTTTCTATTTTTCCTACTCGTTGCCTTTCCTGGCATCCCTATTTGAGCCCCACCACCCAGAATATCTGTTCGCTTATTTTCTCTTTAACCCAGGGATGTATCATGGATAAATGGAGTTGCTTAGAATTGCACATCGCACCAGTAAATTTGACTGTTTGCTAATGTTCTTCGGTTGCTCAATATTTACCGGCAACAGAAGAGGATGGTTTTGTCCTTGTTGACTTTCCCGAGGCTTATAAATCATGGGAAGACAGAGCGAAGAGTTCACGGACCATTTCTACCATTCATATGCTTTTTTTACTTACCATCACTATGCATGTATGACTCCCCGAGAAAAGAAGCAAATGTGTCGGAGATTTATTAACATCACAGTACTGTCACCTCAAATATGCCAAAATCCTGATCAATTAAACCGGACTTGATCACGTGAATCTTTCGGAATGCGGAACTGTATGTGAAAGTCTTTTCCAAAGCACATGGGGGATGATGGCCAGCTATTCACTTGCTGGAAGGCAGATCCACAATTGGGTGGTCGCGGCTAATATTACTGGGCCAGTGAAAAAAGCTCATTAGGTTGCTCATGCTTCCTGAGGTCTTCCTTGTCCATTCGTTTCTTTCTGAAAGCCCACGAGAATCTCTTCTATAAATGAGTTGCCGTATTGACATTCGTTTTATATCCGAGAAAGTATGCCAGAATACATATAAAACAGGAAGAGAAGAGAAATTCACTTTCTCTTTACTATAGTGCCCTCACGACAGAATTTACAGACAAACGAGCCTTTCATTTTTGTTATCGCTAAGGACAAATTTTCATAGGCAAGATTGGTTTCAGCGACATGTTGGACTCCAGAACAAGAAAAAACCTTTTCTTCACCTTCTCTTGGAATGCTTTCGTGTACCCTCACACACAGCTAACTGGAAGCATCGGAGCAGGAACCGTGTAGGCTCCTGCCAGGAAGCTTTGAGCTCAATCCTTCAGCTAGGGCAGACGGGAATGGCACTTGAAAGACCAAAAACTTGATTTTGTAACGCATAATTATGTTGATCTCAGCATTTGCAATGTGCAGGAGGTATCTCTGATGACGATCTTTGCCATGAAGTGCGAGTAACGGGTTTGCAGCCTACAATAAGGTGCTCTTTCTCTGCCAAAAAGTGCACGAGAACGATGCTGGAGGGTACTGACACCCGGCGCCATCACCAAAATTGGTCGCAATACTTTGACAATAGCGCGCACGGAGTCGGGTAACGCCATCTAGGTATCACCATGCAGCGTTCCTGTGGGTGTAGGTTAGGGGTGTAGGTTAGGACTCCACGAGAGGTCACGGCAGCCATGTTTCGCCTCGCCGCGCGCGGCGATTGCTGCCCTGATTGGACAAGACCCATACAGTCGTGCGATTAAGATCCCGGTCCCTTCACATAGTTCTGGCATCACGTAAATCTGCTTGGCATTTTGCAAACTAGAATATTCAATGGGACGTCAATATTTTTGAAATGGCAGCTGTATTTATTCAACAGACTGCTGTATTTCTTTACTACTTACTTACTACTACCTACTTTTCCCGTCTGGCCCCAAATCTTAGGCCTTTACAATACCTTGCAAAGGAATGCAAAAGAAGGGTTCACCTTAAAGTGAATTTTTGTAGATTGCTGATGTATTCTCTAAATATTATTTCTATGTAAATGGACATTGCTTTATACTAATAGTTACACATCGGGCCCACTCCTTCCATAGTTTTCACACCTGCAAGTAATAAAGCAGACTGTTGGAAATCTAACGGACTATGCAAACGCCGCGCAGATAGCGAAAACATCGCGAGGCCCACTTCTCCTCTGCCGCGTCGCGGCGGCAGGCTGACCTCTCGTGGAGTCCTAACCGTTCCCCGGTCCTGTGCGGAGAAAAGTGGCACTTCTACAGCAGCTGGAGGCCCATTCACCTCGCCACGGAAAGGACCCTCTTCGGAGATAAGTGAACAGCCTGTCTTCAATAGCAACCTTTTCGAGTACTGAATAAGTTTCTTGGTAACAAGACAATTTCGCTAACCTTGTTGCACTGACCAACAGCTCCCAGTTGAGCTCGTTTCTCTTGAAATCGGAACCGTTAACTTTTAAAGGGACCGTATTCATTGACTGCAATCTCACTCAATTGTGGATCATGATTGCAACTGCCGCATCCCGTCTTGTACACGAGCCGTGTATTCATGTTCACAGTTTCAGTATTTCCCTAACGATCCTCTCCATTCAGATGCAACTTCTTCTTCTACTATGTTTGGTCTCGTTGTCACAAGCCCTTCTCGGAGTTGGCAGGACTCAGTCGGTCGCCGTCACTGGTCGACTAATTTGCAACGGCCAGCCAGCTAGTAATGTTAAAGTGAAACTGTACGAAAAGGAAAGCAGTAAGTGTCATCAAATTTATGCGTTCATAACGAAAACCCAGGATTATCCGTTTAGCTATGGATGTGAACATGGCCGAAGGTGTAACAGATCAAAATGGCATGTTCCGACTGTCTGGCTCGAAAACTGAGATTTCCACCATTGACCCAAAACTGAACGTCTATCATAAATGCAACTACAATGGAGTAAGTTGTTCTAGCTCATGTACTTCCAGAACTGTTGAAAAAAATTGTTTTGCAGCTCTGCTACCGTAAATTTGGCATCACAATCCCAGACAATTTCGTTACGTCTGGCTCAAATCCTCAGAAAGTTTTCGACATCGGAACCATCAATCTCGCCAACAGATTCACCGGTGAAACAACCGACTGCCTAAATTAGATGTCCATATGAATAAAAACGTCCGAAATCAAGCTGACCTGAAATTCGGTACGAAAAAGAAAGAGCAGAAGTGGAAGTAGTCTTCGGAAAAAAAACTGGTCCAGTGCAACTTATCTTACTGCCACGTTGCTCACTTCTTCATCTTCACAATGACCAAACCGCTGAAAGCTTTCCAACTGAAACCTTCATTCATCCCTTAGCCAACCGTGGACATTGCGCCAGCATATGACAACGAAAAACAGGGATTACGGCCGCGATACTAGCGGCAATATATAGAGGACTAAAAAAATGAGACAGGTGATTTCTCTGAAGAAATCAAATGTTGAGGGCGGTTGGGGCCAGATGGGAGTTTATAAGAATGGGCCATGAATCTGCAACGCGTATTCCACTTGTGTATATTTTATTCGGATCGTGGAAATAGCGCGACCTTATAGATCCTGATGCTCACAGTTCTCTCAAAGCGGCAATATCCCTTCAGAAGCGAACTCGCCTCCACGTTAAAATGGACTACTTAACCT